ATTTTATAGTGTTTTTTGCAAGGGAAAACGGATTACAACAAAACAACCGGATCTTGATGACATCGTATTACCTGAGGCTTCCTCACGAAAATGATGAAAATGTAGCTGCGGCCTAGGCGGCGCAGGGGGGCCGTGCACCAGGGGTCCCAACAATAATTATTCTTTAGAATTAATAATGTTCAACAACAACAACGACAACGACAACGACAACGACAACGACAACGACAACGACAACGACAACGACAACGACAACGACAACGACAGCAACAACAACAACAACAACAACAACAACAATCATGTTCAAGATTGTTCGCTCTTATCTGCTCGCGCGTACCTCACCAGGTATATCCCAAACCCCCGATACCCGCCCTCTTCGTTTTCGATCGTGCCCCTTTCCGGGGGGTATATTTTTGTGACCTGCCACGTATTGGGCGCAGCCCCTAAAAGAGCAAGAGGAATGAGAAAGGAGAGAGAGAGAGGGAGAGAGAGAGAGAGAGCGACTGAAAGAGAGAAGGAGAGAGAGAGAGAGAGAAAGCGAAATGGGGGAAAGGAGGGAGGCAAGGGACAAGAGGGAGGGAGCAGAATTGCGGACGAGAGATTGGCAAGTGGGGGGCTTAAGCGAAAATCCGGAAAACAAGCGGCTGACCTGGACGGCTGGGTCGGGCAACGGTCCCCAACGGGCGGGTCGGGCGGGCGGGGCCTGCAGACCAGCGGGCGAACCCCAACGGGCAACTCGGGCGTACGGGACGTGAAAGCACCCGGCGAGCTTCCAAGCGAGCCGCCGGGCCTGCCGTCACAGGGAAATCAGGCGCGCGGCCCTAACGGGCGGGTCCGGCGGGCGGATCAAAGCGTGAGTTTTGGTTGAATTGTAGGGAAAGCTGCGTGATTAGCCAATTTTCCAAAGGGAAAGCGAATCTCAAGTAAATTCGAAGGAATCCCAAGCGAACGCGCGATTCCTGAATGGCAAGAGCGCGGCGCCGGAGTAAATTGCGAGGAAGTCTCAGGCGGGAGCGCGACTCTTGGATAAATTGCGAGGAAGTCTCAAGCGGGAGCGGGGGACCAGAGCAAATTTCGAGGAAGTACCAAGCGGGAACCGCTGTTGTTGTAAACCAAGGGCCAGGGGCACAGCTTGAGGAAGAAGACTTTCCCTGATAGAAAACAGGGTGCGCGCGCTGGGAGGGGCACTTCCCTTGAAAAATAAAAATGTGCACCGGAAGGGGGATAAACAATAATTATTCAGGAGTGAGAGTTTAACAACAACAACAACAACAACAACAACAACAATCAGTTTAAGACCGTTCGACCTTATATGCTCGAGTGTCCAATAACGCGTATTTCCCAAACCCTCGATACCCGCCCTCTTCGTCTTCGATCGAACCCTTTTTGTGGGGTATATATTTCTTCCCTGCAGGCCGGGCCCCGGCAAGCGGCGGGGCGGCCGCGGAGTCGGCCTGGCCAGCGGCAGCGCTGATCGGCGGGGCGGCCGCGGACCGTCGACCCGACCTCAAGAGGGACGGACAACAACAACAACAACAACAACAACAACAACAACAACAGCAACAACAACAACAACAACCACAACAACAACAACAGCAACAACAACAACAACAACAACAACCACAACACCAACAACAACAGCAGCAGCAGCAGCAACAACAACAACCACAACCACAACAACAACAACAACAACAACAACAACAACAACAACATCACCACCACCAACAACAACAGCAACAGCAACAGCAACAGCAACAGCAACAGCAACAGCAACAGCAGCAGCAACAGCAGCAGCAGCAGCAACAGCAGCAACAACAACAACAACAACAACAACAACAACAACAACAACAACAACAACAAAAACAAAAACAACAACAACAACAACAACAACAACAACAACAACAACAACAACAACAGGGAAGGGAGGGGAGAGGGACGAGAGCAGGAGAAAGTAGCAAGAAAGACCAGGAGCTTACTGGGCGTGAACCAGGGGCCCACCGGCGTCAAAAAAAAACACGTTTTCCGGCGCGGCGCGGCAGAGGCGGGCCGCACGCGCTGCTCGGGCAAGCCGGAGGACGGCATCGCTAACTGTCTAGCAGCAAGAGCGGGAAGAAGGGGAAGAAGGAAGCGGAAGCGGCCGCGGGGCAGGGGGGGGGAGGGGGGAGAGTGATCACGCGGCGGGGCCCGCTGCGGAGCGGGCGCGGCGGCCAGCAGGTGCCGCACCCCTGGCAGCGGGCGCGGGGCGGCGTTGCAGCTACACCGAGGCGCTGGAGCAGAGGCTGCAGTGCACGAAGAGGAAGTACAACGAGGGGGCGTGCAGAGCCACGCCGGCGACGTCCCAGTACAGCGGGGCCAGGAGGTGGCGGCATCCCGGGCGGCAAAATGAAGCGGGGCTGGCGCCGGGCGAGCTGCAGGGCATGGGCTGTGCTGCCGGCTGCGGCCTCCCTGGGCGGGTTTGGAGGGACGGGCCCAAAAACAACAACAAAAACAAAGAACCAAAAAAGCAGGAGATGGTGAACTCGGCCCCCTGACCGCCCCACGATTCCGGCATGGACGCCACCAGACAGCTGACGGCCAAGAAGGCCCAAGAGGCCTCGTGGAGGGTCCCAAGAAATCCCCACCAGGGTCCCAAAGCACAAGACGGCCAGAAGACGCCCCATGAGAGGAGAGACAGAGAGAGGAAAAACAAAAACAAAACAAAAAAGAAAGGGATAGAGGCACGGGCTCAGGATAAAAGACAGGCAACCAAAGAACAATCATATTGGATAGTGGGATTTGTGTTGATATCTTCGGCAGACAACTGGGAAGAGTGCACGTCCCGAACAAAGGAAGCGGCACAAAACAAAGGCAAGCAGGAAAGGTGAGAAGACGCCGCGATGGACATAGACCGCGCTAAAGTATGCCGGTCGGCGACCCCATTCTCCTCTGACCCCAGATCCTCATCCTCATCCAAAAGTGCCCCCCCTTACGTTTCTTCCTCCTCCTCCTCCTCCTCCTCTTCCTCCTCCTCCTCCTCTTCCTCCTCCTCCTCCTCCGCCTCCTCCGCCTCCGCCTCCACCTCCGCCCTCCTCCTCCTCCTCCTCCTCCTCCTCCTCCTCCTCCTCCTCCTCCTCCTCCTCCTCCTCCTCCTCCTCCCTCCTCCGCCTCCTCCTCCTCCTCCGCCTTCTCTGCTCCTCCTCCTCTCCTCCTCCTCCTCCTCCTCCTCCTCTCCTCCTCCTCCTCCTCTTCCTCCTCCTCCTCCTCCTCCCCCAGCCTTCTCCTCCTCCTCCTCCTCCTCCTCTCCTCCTCCTCCTCCTCCGCCTCCGCCTCCACCTCCGCCTTCTCCTCCTCCTCCTCCTCCTCCTCCTCCTCCTCCTCCTCCTCCTCCTCCTGCAGGGCGGCCGCCTTGATGCGATAGGACTGCGTGCTGTCCTCCGGGCGGCGGCCCGCCCTGCCCCACACGGGGCGGCAGGCTGTGCGCGCTGCAGTGGACAGCAGGCGGACACGAAGGATCCGCATCGGCCCTCCATCCCCCTACGCCTCCTCGTCCTCCTCTCCGTCCTCCTCGTTCCCCCCGTCCTCGTCATCCTCCTTCCTTCTCCCTCCTCGTCCTCGTCCTCCCGATCCTCCCCCGCCACGCCCTCCTCTTCAGCCCGATCCTCGTGCTCAACGTGCTCTTCGTCCGCCACCTCCTCATCTCACTCATCTCCTCTTCCTCCTCCTCCTCCTCCTCCTCCTCCTCCTCCTCCTCCTCCTCCAGTGGACAGCAGGCGGACACGAAGGATCCGCATCGGCCCTCCATCCCCCTACGCCTCCTCGTCCTCCTCTCCGTCCTCCTCGTTCCCCCCGTCCTCGTCATCCTCCTTCCTTCTCCCTCCTCGTCCTCGTCCTCCCGATCCTCCCCCGCCACGCCCTCCTCTTCAGCCCGGTCCTCGTGCTCAACGTGCTCTTCGTCCGCCACCTCCTCATCTCACTCATCTCCTCTTCCTCCTCCTCCTCCTCCTCCTCCTCCTCCTCCTCCTCCTCCTCCTCCTCCTCCTCTCTTCTTCTTACTCTTCTTCTTATTATTACTATTCTTATTATTATAATGATTCTTATTATTATGATTAGTAATATTATTAGTATTGTCATTATTAGTATTATGATTAGTACTACTATTATTAATTGTAACATTATTATTAATAGTATTATTAGTAGTAGTAGTAGTAGTAGTAGTATTACTAATACTAATATTATTATTACTACTACTACTACTATTAGTCTTAGTAGTGTTCTTATTAGTCGTATTGTTATTATTCTTCGTCGTATTAGTATTATTATTCTTCTTAGTAGCATCAGCATTATTAGTCTTCTTATTATTATTCTTATTATTCATCTTATTATTAGTACTACTATTAGTATTCGTAGTATGGTTATTCTTCTTATTTTTATTAGTAGTATTAGTCTTCGTCGTAGTCGTCTTCTTCTTATTAGTTTTCTTCTTAGTATTCTTATGACTAATAGTATTATTATTGTTGCTATTCGTCTTCGTAGTATCCGTAGTATTGCTATTATTAGTTTTCTTCTTATGTGTATTATTCTTATTCGTAGTATTAGTATTAGTTTCCATATTATTGCTGTTATTCGTATTAGTCGTCTTATTCTTATTATTCGTATTCTTCTTCTTCTTATTATTAAGACTATTATTATTATTCTTATTCGTATTATTATGTTTCTTCCTCCTCCTCCTCCTCCTCCTCCTCCTCCTCCTCCTCCTGGTCCTCCTCCTCCTCCTCCTCCTCCTCCTCCGCCTCCTCCGCCTCCTCCGCCTCCTCCGCCTCCTCCGCCTCCTCCTCCTCCTCCTCCTCCTCCTACTCCTCCTCCGCATCCACCCCAGGATCGAAACGCAACAAGGAGGAGGCAAAGGGGAGAGAAGGGGGGCACCAAGCTAGGTGCGCTCGCGCACCATCTGACATCCGAACCATCCTACCCATCCCTTCTCATTGCGTTGAACATGTGTCTGCCCGCCGACCGGTGTGTCATAGAGGACCTCGATACCCAAATGACGTCTGCAGGATGAGACTCATCCACTGCTGCGCAACCAGAATGAGGGGCTGTTGTGCCCTGGAGGTGGACAGGGATCAGGATGGAAGCGAAGAACGAGGAACGAGGATCTGGAGGAGCAGGGCCAGATCAACCCTAAACCCTTACGGGGTGCTTCTGAGTGGGGGGTGGGAACGGGAACGAAGGGCAGCCGACCCCCCGCAACCCTAGATAGGAGGGGGGGGTTCGAAGGAGCAGGAGGAGCAGGGGACGGGAGAAGCAGGAGGACTGGGGGAAGGAGGACGAGGGGAACGGACGGGGGCGGCAACGACGAGAAACGACTCGGATCCGGACACGTGGCCCGCGCTGGATTCAGATCGCCATCCCGAGCAGGCTGCATACCACCGATCCTGGGATGTGGTCAGCGCTGCAGCGGGAGTGGAATGTGTTTGAAGGGCCGAGAACCCTCCGATCGGAACAACAGCAGCACATAAAGCCTCACTCCATGATTCAAATTCTGCGCGAGAGCAAGACGCGAGAGCGGCCAGAGTACACAAGCACAGCGTCAGGGGAGAGGGGAAAGTAATACTCCTAGTGAGTGGTTGTGGAGAGGGAGAAGGGGGAGGAGGTGGAGGAGGAGGAGGAGGAGGAAGGAGGAGGAGGAGGAGGAGGAAGATGTGGGAGGAAAAAAACTGGAGAAAGACAACGCCGACGGCGGCTAGGGGCGGAGCAGCCGCCGAGGGAGGAGGAGAGCGCAGAGGACCACGCTGCCTGGGGCACAGGGGAAGGGAGCCAAACAGACAACACTCATCTCTGGCGGCCACCCGAAGCGAAGGGACTCACTCCCCGCCGCCTCCACCTCGCCCCGCCGCCAACCGCCCTCCTCCTCCTCCTCTGCCTCCTCCTCCTCCTCCTCTCCTCCTCCTCCTCCTCCTCCTCCTCCTCCTCCTCCCCTCCTCCTCCTCCTCCTCCTCCTCCTCCTCCTCCTCCTCCTCCGCCTCCCCATCCCCCTCCCTCTCCACCTCGCCCCTCTCCCTCCCTCCCACTCCTCCTCCTCCTCCTCCTCCTCCTCCCTCCCTCCCTCCCTCTCTCCCTCCCTGGCCTTGCACCCTAAAAAATTGCACGTATGGCCCAGCGACTGCGAGCTTGCACCCGAGGACAAGACCCTCTGAAAAGTCAATGGAACAGCAGACCTGGCGGGGCTGCGACACCTCAGTGCTTTCGCCCTCTGGCCCCGAACCTCATTTACTTCCAAGGGCCCTGTTAGCACCGGGCCCTCCGGGCACATTCTGGCAGCCTGCGGGTGGGTGGGATCGTCCAGCGGACAGGAGAAGGCGAACGAGGAAAGAAAGAGGGAGGACGACGACGAAGCGGAGGATGGGCCCACCTGAAGCCAAACATGAGGGAGCGGGTGAAGCACTGACCATACGAAAAGAGAAAGCCCCGAACCATGCTGGCAAGGCAACGGCATGCGGCCACTCGCACAGCAGCTACATGCTCGCAGCTCGAGGTGGTCCCATCGTTGTGGGTGGCGTCTCCAGGTTCCGCCCGTTTGCGAGCAGCCACCCAGCGGAAAGTGACACGCTGTAGCCAGTCAATAAGAGGGCTCCTGGTTATAAGGATGCACAGTAAGGATGCAAGGCCCTTAAACGCCCTAATTGAAGCCGAAGTTGGAGGAGCCTGGACCATGGCTCAGGGCTAGGGTGGCCCATGGCTCAGGGCTAGGATGGCCCGAGAGGCAAGGTTGCAGGGGCACCCTTGGAAAGCTTCTCGTCCATCCGATGCGGCTTGTCCTGGGCCGCCAACTTTTCGCTTCGCGCAGGACGGAGCGCGCTTGGCGCGGCGCTGCTATCTTCTTCACGCAGCCACATCGCCCCCCGTTTAAGAACACCCCCCCCCAAGCAGCCTTGACAGTGGAGCGCGAGGCGCGGTCGTCTCCACGCCTCGGCTGGTGGCTCGAGAGGCCCCACTCACCCCCGCCTCTGGCTACTCCCGCGCAAGCTGGCGGAGCGCACAGGGGGGTGTGGGGAGGGAGGAGAAGGCTCCTTACAAGGAGGCTGCCTCTTAGAAGGCGCTGGCCCCACATCTGTAGATAAGGCCCTCGCCATCTGAGAAGCCTTCCCCCCTCCCCCCTGCCCCCCTCTGCGGGTGGCTGAGCAATGGAGATGGAGAGCCCGAAGACTGATTCCGCCGTCGGAGTCGGAAAACGCTCTTGGACAACCCACGCACCCTGCCCGCAGGCTCTCTAGGCGATCAGGTCGGATCTGGACGGTCACGCCGCCTTCGGCCAGCGCAGAAAGCAATGCAACCCGCCAGCTGCAATACATTGGAATACAATTGGGGGACCGCAGCAGATCTGAAGCGTGCTATATGTCTTGAAGCGACCATGGGTTGCTTGACTGTTGTGTGTAATGGGCTTGCCGCAGTAGTACAATGCAATACGATTCGATGGCGCAATACATTTGCAAAACATGTGCCCGTCTGCAGTAAAGTTGCAATGTGTCTTCTGCGCGCTTTGCAGCTGGAATGTGCGTTCTGTGCCAGACAGCGCACTCCATGCCCAACGCGCCAACTCTTGATGCGACCAATGTCGCAAATGGGCCGCTGAGGTCTTCGAAAACATTCCGAGACGCATGCCTGCCGTCTGCCCCCTCCTTTAGCATATCGCGAGGCTGTTTGCAGGCACGCGTTGCAACAAACGGCACAAGAGTGCCATCACTGCCGGCCGGACCCGATATTGCAGTGCCACATTACTGTCTGCCAGCACCCCCGTTCACCTGGACCCCCTTTTTTTCCCCAGTTAAGTAAGGTTTGTTGCTGCTGTTTCTTGATTATGCTCGTCCTTTCGCCCTCACAAGGGAGGTGAAGGCGCCCACAAAGGATTGGGGCGCGAGACGAACCCAGCGGCCCCACGATCGGTCCTGGAGGGCACGGCCACCGTCGGGGGGCCGACATCCAGGTGCAGCAAACACACTGCGCAGGAAAAATCCTGCTTCGAACTCAGCTGGATCCCCTTTGGGACTGCCCTGACATCCCCCCCGTGCGTCCGACCTGGCCCCGCTCCCGCCACTCCCCATGCGAGGCGGTGCCGCGCTGGTCCTCCATCCGCGGAGTGCTCTCGGCACGCGTGGCATGCGCCGCGGGGCACGCAGGCGGGAGGCCACGCGTCGGGGGGCCGACATCCAGGTGCAGCAAACACACTGCGCAGGAAAAATCCTGCTTCGAACTCAGCTGGATCCCCTTTGGGACTGCCCTGACATCCCCCCCGTGCGTCCGACCTGGCCCCGCTCCCGCCACTCCCCATGCGAGGCGGTGCCGCGCTGGTCCTCCATCCGCGGAGTGCTCTCGGCACGCGTGGCATGCGCCGCGGGGCACGCGGGAGGCGGGAGGCCTTGTGCAACCCGCAAGGAAATGGCTGCGCTGGCGACGATGTCCTCCCTCTTCCCCCTTCTCCTCCTCCCTCCGCCTCCTCCTCCTCCTCCTCCTCCTCCTCCTCCTTGGGCCTCCCCCTCCCCTCCCCCCCCTCCCCCTCGTCCTCCCCCTCCCCTCCCTCCTCCTCCCTCCCTCCCTCCCTCCCTCCTCCCTCCTCCCTCCTCCTTTTCTTCCTTTCTCCCTCCTCCCTCCTCACTGCTCCCTCCTGCCTCGCTGCCCTCCTCCTCCCTCCATCCCTCCCTTCCTCCTCCCTCCTTCCCACCCTCCCCTCCTCCATCCTCCTTCTCCGTCTCTTCCTCCTCCTCCCCTCCTCCTCCTCCTGCCTGTTCCTGCTCATCATCATCATCATCATCATCATCATCATCATCAGCAGCAGCAGCAGCATCATCATCAACATCATCCTCCTCCTCCTCCTCCTCTCCTCCTCCTCTCCTCTCATCATCATCATCATCATCATCATCATCAGCAGCATCAGCATCGTCATCATCATCATCATCATCATCACCACCACCACCACCACCACACCACCACCACCATCATCATCATCATCATCATCATCATCATCATCATCATCATCATCATCATCATCATCATCATCATCATCGTCATCATCATCATCATCATCATCATCATCATCATCATCACTTTCAGCATCAGCATCGTCATCAACATCAACGTCATCATGATCAGCATCATCAGCATCATCATCATCACTTTCATCATCAGCAGCATCATCCACATCAACGTCATCATCATCATCATCATCATCATCATCATCACCATCATCATCATCATAATCATCATCATCATCATCATCCTGATCATCATCAACAACAGCAGCATCATCATCAGAATCATCGTCAGCATCAGCAGCAGCAGCAGCAGCATCAGCATCATCAGCATCATCGTCATCAACATCAACATCAGCATCATCATCATCATCAGCAGCAGCATCATCAACATCATCACCACCATCATCAACATCAGCATCATCATCAGCATCATCAGCATCGTGCAGCATCAGCATCGTCGTCATCATCAGCATCATCATAATCATCATCATCATCAGCAGCAGCCTAATCATCACCAGCATCAGCAGCATCATTATCAGCATCATCAGCATCAGCATCATCAGTATCACCATCAGCAGTATAAGCATCATGAGCATCGTCATCATCAGCATCAGCAGCATCAGCATCATCAGTATCATCATCATCATCATCATCAGCAGCAGCCGCATCATCATCATCAGCATCATCATCAGTATCATCGTCAGCATCAGCATCAGCATCATCAGCATCAGCATCATCAGCAGCATCATCCTCATCATCAGCATCATCATCAACATCATCATCATCATCATCATCATCATCAGCATCATTATCGGCAGCAGCGGTAGCATCATCAGCAGCAGCATCAGCAGCAGCAGCAGTAGCATCAGCAGTAGCATCATCATCAGCATCATCAGCATCAGCATCAGCATCATCAGATCAGTATCAGCAGCAACAGCATGTGCGTCATCACCAGCAGCATCAGCAATAGCATCAGCATCATCATAAATATCATCATCAACAGCATCACCACCACCACCATCACCATATCATCATCCTCACCATCATCATCAGCAGCAGCAGCAGCCGCGGCATCAGCAGCATCCTCTTCATCATCAGCAGCATCAGCAGCAGCGTCAGCCTCAGCATCATCAGCAGCAGCATCATCAGCAGCAGCATCATCATCAGCAGCATCAGTATCAGCATCATCAACCTCATCAGCATCATCATCCTCATCATAACCATCAGCATCATCATCAGCATCATCAGCATCATGATCAGCATCATCATCAGCAGCAGCATTATTCTCCGCCACCATCGGAATCGTCTCCATCATCCGCATAAATATGCATCCGCATCATCGGTATCCTCGCCCACCTCGACATCGTCATCCGCATGTTCCTCATCATCATCCCCGTCCGCCTCTACCCCTTCCGCCGCCTGCACGATGTCGTCAGCATCAGGATCATGACCAGCGTCATCAGCAGCAGCATCATCCTCAGCAGCATCATCATGATCATCATCTTCTTCATCATCATCATCATCAGCATCATCATCATCATCATCATCATCATCATCATCATCAGCATCATCATCATCATCAGCATCATCATCATCATCATCATCATCATCATCATCATCATACTCATCATCAGCATCATCAGCATCAGCAGCATCATTATCACCAGCATCATCATCAGCATCAGCATCATCATTATCATAATCAGCAGTATCATCAGAAGCATCATCATCAGCAGCATCACAATTACCATCACCAGCATCATCATCATCATCATCAGCATCAGCATCAGCATCGTTATCATCATCAGCAGCATAATCACCATCATCATTACTATCAGCAGCAGCAGCATCAGCATCAGCATCATCATCATAATCAGCATCATCATCCGCAACATCATCATCATCATCATCATCATCATCATCATCATCATCATCATCATCATCATCATCATCATCATTAGCAACATCGTCAGCATCACTATCGTCATCAGCAGCATCATCATGAGCACCAACATCATCGTCGTCGACAGCATCAGCGCCACCATCAACAACCGCATCATCACGAACAGCATCACCACCAATATCATCATCATCAGCATCATCACCGTCGTCGTCGTCACGGTCGTCCGCGTCACCATCATCCACCTCGTCACCATCATCGTCAGCGTCAGCATCATCAACACCAGCATCCGCATCATGATCGCAATCGATATCGTGACCCACAAAGTGTCCGTTATCGTCGTCAGCGTCGGCATCGTCATATTGAACACCAGCATCGTCAATAGTATAACCTTAGCATCAGCATCCGCATCAACATCATCATCACCACCATCAGCATCATCCTCATCAGCATCAGCATCATCAGCAGCATCAGCATTATCAACATCATCAGCATCATCGTCATCCTCAACGATATCATCATCGCCATAAGCACCGTCAACCGCAACAATATAAGCATCAGCATCAGCAGCAGCAGCATCATCGTGAGCAGCATCGTCATCGTCAGCATCGTCGCGTGGTTGTCACCGTCGACATGGTCATAATAGTCCTCGTCATCGTATCCATCCCGTTGCCCTTCACGCACTCCATTACGATTTCTCAATATCGTAATTGACATACGGCTCATTCTCGTCACTCGCCGGGGCCTCATATCATCCGCCTCTTAGTCCCGCCAACCCTATGGGCATCAGTGGTCTGACGAGGTCTGCCTTTTCTCGTCCACAGCAGGCCCGTGCTTCCCTTCGGGGAGAAGGTTAAACGCCCCCTGCCCCCATTTCACAGGGGTGTGAATGGGAGGGGGACGGAGGTGTCAGGGGGTCTGTTGTCGCCCAGGATGGCGCCAAGAGTGCCTCCGATGCTCCCAGATGGCCTCCAAGATGGCTCGAGATAACCGAAGATGCTTCAAGACAGCTTCCGACATCCCTCCAAGAGGCCCCAAGATGGCCAAACGACGGCTCCTAGTACTCTCGGAAACACCCACGGATCCCCCAAGAGCCCAACATCCATCAAATGCCTGAGGGTGATATATGAGTGCCGCAGCATCGCCGCTTCGCGTCCGATGGGCTTCCGAGGCCTCCAGATGGCCCCGAGCTGGCCTAAGACTGTCCCAGGAAGGGCCCAAGAGGGGCCCAAGATGCCCCCCAGACGGCCCCAAGAGCGCCCAGTGTCGCCCCAAGAACGCCCCAAGAGAGCCCCGTTGATGGCTGAGGCCAAGGAGGAGGAGGAGGAGGAGGTGTGAGATATACGCTGTACATCTTGCGTGTATGCTATGTTGCAGTATGCAGACAGTGCAGAGCAAGGCTGTAGCATAGCGGGTGTACCATTGCACTTTGGCCCGAACCTTTTCAGGGCCCTTGAGTCAGACCGAGCGCGATGTGAGAATGAGATTCTCTTTCATCATCAACGTTATATATATTGTCGTCAAAGACTTCGTGGGCTTTGATAAGTTCATATTGGTAGCGGAGCCTGCCGATCTGTCGGCAGGCTCGTCAGCGCCCTGCATATCCCGTGGACCGATCCGCAGCGACGGCCACATCTCCATATCGAGTAGCTTCGAGCCCGACCTCAGCTACGACTCGGAATCGACCTCCAGCGAGGTCCAGAGCAACAACGACAGCGGCGAGTACGAGCAGCAGTACCCCTCCCGCGACAGCGACAGCGACAGCGACCTCTACGCAACAAAGGCTAGCATCATGGCGAAAGCAGGCGGCAGAGGGACCGACGACCAGTCTATACTACCAGAACGCGGAGTTCCACAGTTCGATGGCACACTGTCGAGGTGGAAGGAGTACGAGAAGCGGGCGACCATGTTCATAGCGAAGCTTACACTGGAGAAGAAGGAGGACGATGCGGCTCTCATGTTATCGGTCGGGCTGACGGGTGAAGCCTGGGACGAAGTTGAGGATCTCACGGAGGACGACCTGATCAAGCCAGGCGCGGCGACGGCGCTGCTCACACGCCTACGGAAGCGATTCAAGATGGACACACGGACGGAGTTGGCAGACGACTTTGAGGAGTATGTCTACAAATTACGACGGAATCGAGCAGAGACCCTGTTCAGCTACATATCAAGAGTTCGGGCGTCAGAGCGGAAGCTCAAGACGCACGACATCGAGCTGCCATCCAAGGTCCGAGGATGGCCGATTCTACGACGAGGCGGCTACAATTCAGATCAGAAGGCAGTCATCATGTCCATCGTGGGCAAGGATATCACACAGGACAAAGTGATCGAGGCGCTGGAGACGACATTCGGACAGGAGAGCACAGTATACGAGCCTAAGCATGCACGGAAGCAGTACCACGTGGACGACGAGACAGGAGAGTACTACGAAGAAGATGCATACTATGGCCAAGACGACGAACTAGAGTTCGACGACGGCTACGAGCAGGAGTACTGGGCCGAGGACGGCGACGAGAGC